GCAGTGAGTATGGGGGGGGAGGGGAAGAACCCCTGCCAGCACCGGGCCTCCCAGCTAGTGCCCCAAGCCTCTCTCAGGCTCTGGCCCCTAGTCCCTCCCACTCACAGCATTGGGGGGGCACATGGCCCCTCACACACACACCCATCACCAGTGACCTTTGGCTAAACAGCAGGGGCAGCTGGGGAACATCCCGTCACCTGCTCACCCAACCCAACCCGGCCGTATCGCCATCAGGCAGGAGGGGGCGGGTGGAAAGGGGGACCCAGGCCATCGCCCCCAGGTAGAGGCGGAGCCTCGCCTGTTTAAAGACGACTTCGGGGGAGCGCTCTCTGTCAGGCAAGGCCCCACTGACCAATGGCTGGGGTTGTGAAAGCCTCGTTTCTGCATTTGTTCGTCTTTACGGCCCCCGCTGCTCCGTGGCGCATCTGTCTGGTCTCTGGTTCCTGGATTGTTTCTGCCTGCTCTAGAATTAACGTTGCTGGGTATAAACCAGTGAAGGTGGCGGGGTATAATAGGTTCGCTAATCTCGTTAGGGCTGGTTAATTAAATGGCAGTAAATGATGGTTAAGGGGTAGCTGGGCATGTTACTATATAAACAAGAAGGAGGTTGGGGGGGAAAGGAAAAAGAAAATTGGATCCATGCTGGCTGGAGCTGACCCCAATACACACTGAATTGTTTGCATCTCCGGTGTGGCTGGTCTCTGTTCACAGGAGCAGGAGCAGGGCGGTGGGAGGGGGAAAAATAATCCCTCTAACATCTCGGCGCCCCGGCTCTGTCCCGGGGTTGGGGCACCAGGGCGGCTGTTTTCTTTCTCTTTACCAGACCAGCGGCTAGAAGCCCCGGGGGTCTCAGCCGCCACTAGAAGGTGCTTTTGTGCCTGCCGGGTGCTGCTAATGCCAGACCCGTTTCCTTGCGCAGCCGGAGGGTAGAGGAAGGGCTGAAGCTGGGCCGGGGAGGGGAGCTGAGTGCGCTCTGGCTGGGCAGCTCTTGACAACCAGGACGTGGTTCCTGCTGCCTCGTTGCCTCGCCGGGCCCCGCTTCCTGTGTCCCTCGCTTCCAGGCCCTGCCCAAGGCAGCCGCAGTTTGCCCTGGCCCAGCCAGGAGCCCTGGAGGGACGCGCTGTCCATACAGGCGCCGGCTGGGAATTCCCTCCCAGGACTGCACGGAACTTTCAGGCTCTAGCGGCTGAAGCGCCACGGAGCCAGGTCCAAAGAGATTTCGGTGCCCAACTCCCATGGGTTGCAATGTGAGTTAGGTGCCCAGCCACCTCTGATGATCTAGGCCTTAGAACAGCCGCCCCATAGGCCTTGAAGTAGCGGGGACCTTTGCTGTGGGGCTCCAGGGGGGTTTCTTGTTGCATTTGACCTGGTTGCAGCCAGGGGAGCCGACAGCCACGCTGGGGCTGGGCCAGGTGGAGGGGGCCCGTCTTTATGTTCTTGAAAGGGGTGGGACCTCAGGCAGAAGGGGCAGAGCCTCAGGCAGAAGGGGCGGGGTCCAGGTAGAGGGGGTGGGGCTGAGGGTACCTGTCCTCCCCCTCATACAGTCTGCAGCATGCCACAAAGCAACCTCGTCTCCACAGGCAGCCCTAAGAGCCGTCTGGGAACAGAGATGCTAACGCTGCAGCCTTCAGGCCTGGTTTTCAATGGCTGGTGGAGTCTGCTACTGCCCACCCCTCTTCTCCGCCACCTCGCCTCTCAGAGGTACTTTCCCCGTGGAGAGCGAGGGGGGAGCGTGGCCTAGGAGTCGGAGCATGAGACAGGTCTGGAGAGACCTGCACCTCTGCCACTGGCTTCCTGGCCTGGGGCACCTCACCCCACTGATTGTACCTCCATTGTCCTCGTACAGAGCGGGCCGGGGTGCCTTAGGGCTGCTGCTTCAGGGACCCTGGCCTGTGCCACCACCATGTGGCCACTGCCTGTACTGCCCTGACCCCTCAGGCCACCTGCACCCTGGGTTCCTTGGGGAGCCCCAGGCCTGCGGTTTGGGGCCTGGTGTCTCCTCACGGCAATGGGGTGGCTGCCCAACCCCTCCCCCTGCCTCACACTTCTCAGCGAGGGGTTAGTTCCCCCTTGATCCCGAACAGGCTGGGCCGGGGCGACAGGCGAGATGTGACACTGACGTGTCTCTCCAAGATCTGTGGGCCTGCCCGCCCCAGCCCAGGGGCCACATTTCAGCCGTGCGCGGAGCAGTGAAGGTCAGCGGGGAGCAACCCCCGCCCGAAACTCACAGAGCGATGATGTCACTCTGTTGTCCCACAGGACAATTTTTGTACATATATAAAGAGAGAAAGAGAGAGAGAGAAAACAAGAACACGGATCACAAATCACATTTTAAGAAAAAGCAAATGATTCTATTTTGTATTCGATTATAATATTGATTTTAAAACGAAAAGCAAAATTATAACCCTAACATTGACCTTCCGAGGTCTCTTCCAGTTCTATGATTCTATTTTTATAATAGTTTTAAATGAAACAATTTAAATTATTTTATAATAATAACGATAAACATTTACATCGATTTTGATCTCTCTCTTTATATATATAAAAAAATTGTCCTCTGGGCCGACAGAGTGACATCATCACGTCACTCTGCATCCACAGGAGCCACGTCCCACCCACTCCCAGCATGGCCCTTCCCAAGGCCCACTTGAAGGGCAGGGGCTGCCTACAGCCCGGCCTGCCCCTCCCCTTCCCAGTGGCGGAGGGAGATCCAAGCCTGGCAGGGCTTGGGTCCAGCCCGTCCTGGCCCCACCCTGCAAGTGGGATGGCAAAGAGCCAGGACTGAGGGAGGACAGGGCAAGAGGTGGGGCGGCTGTGGGGCCAGGCCCTCGCTGGCCAAAAGGGGGGTTGGTGAATGTAGCAAACAGGGGGTGCAGCCCCCTAGGGTATGTCTACACTACA